GTCCTTTTTAGCATGTTTTTGCATGGTTTCCATACTTAGTACTTAATTGTGCTAACCCCTTTCTTTCCCTTTTGACTAAAGTGTAGGGATTTGGAGATGTTGATATTTCATGGTTGATGGATAGGTTTCTAAGGTGTTTGAAGATGAAGACATGGTGAGTCCTCATAGATTCGAGGACAATAACCAAGATGTTCCTTTATGTCTTGTAGTTTTGTTATAGTTTTGAGTGGGCTTAGTCCCAATGTTGTATTCAAGTATTAGATGGTTTTGAGACATCTTAGATAAAGTCTAGAAAGTCTTCCACTTGCAATTTAATGAAAGTGTCTTCGCGTGTGAAGAAAGTTTTAAATTCTCCTTTTTTTTAAAGTATCGTATGCAATGAATGATCCATGAGGCTTGTATTAGACCTCCGAGAGGTCGAGTACGCCAGTTATGACTAGGGGGTGCTCTCGGGTCGTGACAGTGCTTGCCTTTTCAAACAAAGTGGTATCAGAGCATTAGGTTGTTGTTGATTATCTATTTGAATGATGGAGTTAAATATGAGCAATATGGTTTGTTTGAATGGTAGTAATTATCATACTTAGAAAGGCAAGATGAAAGATCTTCCATTTGTCAAGAAAATGCATCTACCTGTGTTTGCTTCGAATAAACCTGAATCTATGAATGATGCGGATTGAGAATTTGAGCACCTACAAGTTTGTGGCTATATTAGACAGTGGGTTGACGATAATGTTAGAAATCACATTGTGAATAAGACACGTGCTAGAAGTTTGTAGGACAAGCTCGAAACACTTTATGCTTCGAAGACTGACAACAGTAAATTGTTTCTTTTGAAACAATTGATAAACATCAGGTATAAAGAGGGCACTTCTATTTTCGATCATATTAATGATTTTCAGGGTGTTCTTGACCAGCAATCTGAAATGGGTGTAAAATTCAATGAAGAAATTCAGGGACTATGGCTTCTTAATACTCTGCCAGACTCTTTTGAAATTCTTCGAGTTTCTTTGACTAATTCTACTCCAGTGGTGTTGTGACCATGGAATATGCTAAAAGTAATGACTTGAATGAAGAGATGAGAAGAAGATCTCAAGGTTCATCTTATTCTACTCCACACTCCGATGTTTTGGTTATTGAAAATAGAGTAGAAGCAAGTTTAGAGGTCAAAATGACAGATATAAAAGTAGAGGAAAGTCAAAGTCTAGATTCAAGAATGTTACATGTGACTATTGCCATAGGAATGGGTATATCAAGAAATATTGTTTCAAGTACAAGAGAGATATGAAACAACAAAAGAAAGAAAACGATAATGAAAATCGTGTTGCTGATGTTGTTAACGATGACCTTCTTGTTTCTTGTGATGAAAATGTCGTCAATCTTGTTTGCGATGAGTCTAGCTGGTTTGTGGATTCTGGTGCTACTTCTCATGTCACGCCCAGGAAGGAATTATTTCTTCTTATACTTCAGGTAATTTTGGAATGTTGAAAATTGCAAATAATCATGAGGTTGGAGTTCTTGGTATTGAGACTGTTTGTTTGGAAAGTAATAATGGTTCTAAATTAGTTCTCAATAATGTCAAGCATGCTCTAGATGTCCGCTTGAATTTGATTTCTGTTGGATACCTTGATGATGAGGGTTATGTTAATACCCTTGGTGCTGGCTAGTGGAAGCTTAATAGAGGTTCAATAGTTGTAGCCCATGGTGACAAGTTGTCTAACTTGTACATTTTTCAGGACTCCACTCTCAGAGGCTCAGTAAATGTGGTGGAGAATGATACTTCATCATCATTATGGCATAGAAGAATAAGTCATATGAGCGAGAAGGGGATGGATAATTTCGCTAAGAAGAATTTGCTTTATGGAGTGAAACAATCAAAGTTAAACAAGTGTGTTCATTGTTTAGCCGGTAAACAGAAAATAGTTTCTTTTAAGAGTCATTTGCCTTCAAGAAAGTTTGATTTGCTGGAGTTGGTACATTCTGATTTGTGTGGTCCTTTTAAGGTAAAATCTCATGGTAGTGCACTTTACTTTGTGACTTTTATTGATGATCATTCTTGTAAACTCTAGGTATTCTCTTTGAAGTCCAAGGATCAGGTACTTGATGTGTTCAAGAATTTTCAGGCCTTGGTTGAGAGACAGACAGGGAAGAAATTGAAATGCATCCGTTTTGATAATGATGGTGAGTATATTGGTCATTTTGATAGATATTCTAGAGAGCAGGGTGTTCGGCATCAGAAAACTCCTCTGAAGACTCCTCAGCTAAATTGTTTGGCGGAGAGGATGAACAAAACTCTTGTTGAGAGGGTTAGATGTATGCTTTCAAATGCTAAGCTGCGTTCCAGATTCTTTTTGGGCATAATCACTTAATACTCCTGCCTATGTTATCAATTTATCTCCCACTGTTGCTTTGAATGGTGATGTTCTTGACATAATTTGGTCTGGTAAGAATGTTTCTTATGATTATCTTAAAGTTTTTGGGTGTAAAGCCTTTGTGCATATTCCTAAGGATGAGAGGTCAAAGTAGGATGTCAAAACTAGGCATTGTATCTTTGTTGGTTATGGTCAAGATGAATTCGGCTATCGTTTCTTTGATCCAGTTGAGAAGACACTTGTCAGAAGCCGTGATATTGTGTTCTTTGAAGACCAAACAATTGAAGATCTTGACAAAGTTGAGAAAGTTGATTCTCAGAGCAGTGAGAGCCTAGTTGATGTTGATCCAGTTCCTTTGACTATTCCACCAGGTGAGAATCTTCAAGTTGATATTGAAGATGATGATCATATTCAGAATGACCAGTATGTCATTGATGCTCCAGTGCAAAACGATGTAGTTGGTGAGCAACCAACTATTATTGATGCTCCCGAGAGTTCTCAAATGATCTACTAGAGAAAAAATACCTTCATATCGTTATTCTCCCAATGAATTTGTACGCTTGACTGACGGGGGAGAACCAGAGAGTCTTGATGAGGCCATGGAAACTGAAGAAAATGAAATGTGGTTTGATGCTATGAAGGATGAAATGAAGTCTATATGATAATGATACGTTTGATTTGGTTATGTTACCTAAAGATAGAAAAGCTTTGAAAAACATGTGGGTTTTTAGGGTGAAACATGAAGATGGTAACTCGATTCCACGGTACAAGACTAGATTAGTTGTGAAGGGTTTTAGCCAGAAAAAGGAAATTGATTTTGATGAGATATTCTCTCCAGTTATGAAGATGTCATCCATTCGTGTGGTTCTAGGCTTGGTTGCAAATCTGGACTTGGAGGTTGAATAGATGGATGTTAAAACTGCTTTTCTCCATGGCGACTTGGATGAAGAAATTTACATGGAGCAGCCGGAAGGCTTTGAAGTCAAGGGAAAAGAGAATTATGTTTGCAAGTTGAAGAAGAGCTTGTATGAGTCAACAGGGCTTCAAGAATTCATGAAGTTTGGTTCTTTTATGAGTCAACAGGGCTTCAAGAAGACTTCTTCAAACCATTGTGTTTTTGTGCAAAAATTCTCTGATG